AAAAAAATTAAGTAAATTAATAAAAAAAGTAGTAATTACTGGAAAAAATAAAGTTAGTTTATTAAAGAAAAATAATTGAATTATAAAACAAAAACAAATAAAGTTAGTTGTTTGTTTTGCAATTGGAAGTGCTTAACAATATGTAAATATAAAGATCGTTGCATTTGTTTTATAAATTACAAGGAGAAAAAACAAATTAAAAATGTAAAATCATCTACGGTGTGCAAATGTGTGGCCAAATGTCAAAGCAAATAATAAATTTTTTATTTTTTACTTTTTTCTTTGAGAATTTTGTTTCAGTTTTACGCTAACGAATACGACAACACCTTATACAGGCGCCTTAACCTTTTCAAATATTAAGTGTGAATAAATTACTAATTCAGTTTACTCCAATAAGACCGCAATTAATCAAATAAATATTTATACAATTTGCTAAAAATTTTAATTAATGGACAGAACGGTTGTTCGTGTTTATAAATTTTCGTTAATGTTAACCCTGGCTCTCGGTTAGTCTTAGTTACTACATACAATAATAAGCGCGTATGTATGTACGTATGTATGTAGTATATGTCAGTACAAGTTACATATATTTAGGTTGTTATGTAGGTATATATGTATGTAAGTATTTACATAAGTAATTCAATCACGATTTTTGTAGCTAGCAAAGAGGCTGCGATCATCCGCGACAAAGCGTATACTTACACGATTGATCGAGTTGCGACGTGGACCCATGCCGGCTGAGCCGCCACTACCACTACCGCTGCCGCCATTTAAGCCACCTGCTGCGCCATTCGTTGAAGATGCACCGAAATTCTCATCATCAATGCAAATATCCGAATCCGAGTCGGAGCGTCGCAAACCGCCACCGTCCTGAGTTGTTGGTGCGCAGTAATTAGCCATATAAACAAATGTATGTGTTTCAGGCATTTATGTATGATGTATTCATGAACCGCGCGTCAATGGTGCATGCAATGGGATGATAAGAAATGCAATGAAGTTGGGTAATTTGTAGTTGATATGTGCAAAAATCGGAGAGGAAAAGAAAATTCAAAAAAATTGTACAGCCAACAGTAATACCTAATGTAATTGTAATGCAAATATTTCCCCCCATTATAATTATTTGTTAGTATATAGGTATGTATGTGGGTCTGTATTCCAAAACGTATTTATCACTATCTACACTCGTACCTGTGTAAGTTGCTCGGTTGTGGTGAGTAAGCGCGCCACGGGATTACAGCATACGGGCAAAGTTTCGAGCAGCGTTGGTCGTGAATGCGTCAACAACGGCTTCATATATCTGTGAAAAGGAAAAAAGAAGTAAAACGAGAAAAATTTTAGGTTTAATACTCTTTAGATAGATATAGAAGATAGAAAATAATTGAGCTTTTGCATTCCGAACTATGGTCTATTGTGCCTTCTCCTATACCACATGTGATCGCAAAGGTTCCAGCACTCTGAATAATTCCAGGAGCTTACTCGGCGCGGCTGATGTGATGTGATCAATGTCCACACGGATGAATCCAAAGGCTTTGAATCTGTTTCTACAAATTGCTGGCAAATCTAGAATCTCGTCTTTTGGACTTTTCTGTTACAGGTCGCAAAACTGGCAGTTTGCGCAAGATACTATGACCATGTTGGAGAACTGTTTCTTGAGCCTGTAGTGCTCTATATAGGGCCAGGAAACATATCCTGTCATTAAATAAACAGTCATCGCACTCGCGACAAGACTCCCATGTCATTGTCCAGTCTAAACTTAGAAATTGTAAATAATTTCTTGGAACCAGTATTGATATCAAGAAAAATGTCAGCCACGAAATCCAAAGCAGAATAACTCTTGACAACAGGGGCTATTTCGGGCTAAGTATGCAATTGAGAAGTGAATTACTCTCTCGATGGACAAAAACCAAACTCTATGAGCACTCGTTGTTCCCGTCTTGCTATATCGTGCAGAGGCATCTACAACATTTGATGAGTCGACGGTACAAGTTTCCTAGAGAAATGTTCTGCGGCAGATTTATGGTTCTTTGCGCATTGACAACTGTGAATATCGCATTGGATGTATGAGATGAACGTGTTATACGATGACATTGACATAGCTCAACGAATTAAAAGCTACGCTGGCTAGATCATGTCGTGCGAATGGACGAAAACACTCCAGCTCTGAAAGTATTCGACGCAGTACCAGCCAATTGGCGCCAACCCCATGGTTGTCAGGTTAGGGAAACTAGACATACGAAAGGGTACAAACAAGGACACGCCGAGATTTTTTTTCTTCAACTGCATTCTTGAAAACTTAGAATCATTGCGTCGTTGAAGCTACCCGTGGCTACTTTTTCTCTGCTCACATACCGACGAGTGTGATGTGAATCGGCAGAAGTCGCTAAAAAGTGAGTTTTTTCACCGATGGGTAGAAGCCAAGAAGGACATGAGCACTCACTCCGCAATACGAGTATCTCATATTAGAAATAACATTAAGCTACTTTATCATAGACACGTTTGGGTGCCTGGTCATAGGGGAATCGCTGCAAATCCGACAAGCTAACCAGAAGTTGTACTTTTGCATCGATTGTATTGGAATGGGACCTCCATTGGCATATTGCGTTCTAGCACTGCATCAATGAACCTCGTGTGCGCTTAACAAGCGCTGGTCCACGACGCGTTTCTGTGCGACTGCAAAATTTTGTTCGCTTAGAGTAGAACACATAAAATCTTCTAAACTACTTATCCATAGCAAAGTTCATCTTTCCACAATCGTAGGAGTTTTTTACTGAACATTGTCCAATAGGTATTCCAGGCACTTTCTCCTCCATTAACCTCGAAGCGCTTTGTCGATTTGTAAGGGCCCTATGATCTCTTAAATACGAATTTTCTATCAACTTACTTGGTATCGAAATTCCCCCATATTCTTGCCAAAAAAGCCTTCTCATTGCGTTTGACATTCATGGCTGTCTGTGCGCCGGCATCGCCAACACCACCAGCTCCCTCAACGTCCACGTCGACATCCTGCAAATATGCATCAGACTAATTTTTTAAATTCTAGTTAACTCTTCGACAGAAACAACAAATTAGCAAAATCACAAAGAAAACAAAATTAAAACAGTGCAAAGTATGTAAATACATATTGAAAGTGTAAAACAAAGAGAGAAGAAGCGTAACTAGTAAAATGCAACTGCAAAAAGCTAAAGCAAATACGAAGAATAATAATAAAAGGTTAGAAAAAAAAAATAACGAGAAATATACAAGGACACTTATGAAATCGGCATAATATGTGGACAAAAAGAATATTTTAAGAAAAATATGATTTAATAAAAAACATTGTGGCAAAAAAAAAAAATTAAAATAAAATGTTTTTCATGACTTTGGACTATTAAAAAATAGAAAGTAAAAAAAAAAGTGAAATGTGCCTTATAACGCGTTACAGACACGTATCCTTACCAAGGAGCTGCGCCGACGCGACATAGGCAGCTGGCCCAAATTGAGTCCGGTATCGATTGACTGCGTGTGTATTGTACATGAAAACACAAAAATTACAAAAATTTTCGAACTAGATTATAGTAGTCGTCTACTTTTAAAACGCCAACAAACTGAGCGAACTCATAAAAATTTAGAATTAAAAAAAAAAATAGACAGTCTTCTGTTGCATTAGTTACCCAGTTAAGTTATTAAGCCAATTGGCTAGCAGAAAGTCAGTATGGAACGTTAACCCAAATATAAATTACACTATGCATTACCATGCGTGATTATTATAATTATCAAGTGAAGTTAAAAAACAAAACAATAAACGATATGTTAATGAAGCAATGTCCAAAAGAAATGTAGGGTATTTTGGCAACAATTTGTAAAGCTTACGAGGTTACTTTATTCTAGAAATAATAAGCGTTTGGTACATATAAAACTGCATATTTGATATACATATGTATATACCGTATGAAAGGAAATGTGAAGAAGCTCACTGATTGGATTAAGAAGATATCGAGATGAAAATGATCACTGATACGCTCACGACAATTTTAGAAAAAAACAAAAAACTTGCCTGCTCAGCCTCAACAATAAATCTAAGGAAACCAGTCTTAATGTAAACGAAAATAAACCGTAATAATCGTTAAATGTTGTTAGCACGGTATATAGAGGTCTTTTAATCCGCTACAAATTTAGTTACAGAATCCCTACAAACTCAAACAACAACTATGGGACCATTATTTCTTGTTATTAACCTCGAAATATTTATAAATTATAATAGAGAAACAAATGTATTTTTTTTTGAACGTTGATACTTGTAGTATTAATGTTTACCCTATCAAACGTTTTAAGCAAGTTTCCCATAAAACTTTAATGCTACTGCAGCGATCGTTTAAAAACTTCGAACACTATTTTACGAGGTAGCGCTGGAGAATATTTTTTCAAAATTGTTAATATTGCAATAAATCTCGTTTTTCGTTTAAAGTCTTGCCAAAGACTGAAAAATCAATTTTCAAAAACAACAACAAACAACAAACCTACTCCCCATCCCCGCGTTATTTGGGCAAAGCGAATAGCTAACGATATAATTTTGATTTTAGATAACAGAGCGCCGAGTCATGGGGCGGAACACAATACAACTTTTTTCTGAGTTGCCTCAGGGTACTTGCTGCCATTGCCGTATTTTTAAATATTGCTCCATGAAAACTAAACTGCACATTCCTCAAATAATATACTTTGTCTTTTAGAAATATATATTAACTGTTTTCTCAAAAAAATCACCTTGTTTTACATTAATTAACCCTACTTCCCCCTTAACAAAGACATTGAATTTTGAAAATTTCAACTCTCATAAAGATTGGAACGATAGCCAATTATTATACTCTCGCAACAAAGTTGCTAAGGAGAGTATTATAGTTTTGTTCACATAACGGTTGTTTGTAAGTCCTAACTAAAAGAGTCTGATATAGTGTTAATGATCAGGGTGACGAGTAGAGTTGAAATCCGGATGTCTGTCCGTCCGTCCGTGCAAGCTGTAACTTGAGTAAAAATTGAGATATCATGACGAAACATGTTAAGGTTAAGTTCGAAGATGGGCAAAATCGGCCCACTGCCACGCCCACAAAATGGCGAAAACCAAAAACCTATAAAGTGTCATAACTAACTATAAATAAAGATATTAAAGTGAAATTTGGCACAAAGGATCGCATTAAGTAATTTTTTTGGAAAAGTGGGCGTGGCCCCGCCCCCTACTAAGTTTTTTGTACATATCTCGGAAACTACTATAGCTATGTCAACCAAACTCTATAGAGTCGTTTCCTTCAGGCATTTCCATATACAGTTCAAAAATGGAAAAAATCGGATGATAACCACGCCCACCTCCCATACAAAGGTTATGTTGAAAATCACTAAAAGTGCGTTAAACGACTAACAAAAATCGTCAGAAGTACTAAATTTTACGGAAGAAATGGCAGAAGGAAGCTGCACCCAGGCTTTTTTTATGAATTGAAAATGGGCGTGGCGTCGTGATGACATGTACGAAATATGGGTGAAATCGGTTAACAACCACGCCTTACTCTAATATAACGCTATTTTAAATTCCATCTGATGCATTCTCTGTATAATATATACATTAGGAACCAATAATGATAACGGAATAAAACTTTACACAAATACGGTATTTGAGCTGAGGTATCCCTTGTRGAAAAATTGTCGTGATCGGACTATAACTTTTCAATACAATTAAAATAATGAAAATACAATTCAATACTCAAAGTACACAAATTGATCTAATCTAATTAATTTTACAGCAAAATAAAAAAATATGTAAATGAAGGATAATGAAATCTCGATTATCACTTTATCATGCGAGAGTATAAAATGTTCGGTGACACCCGAACTTAGCCCTTCCTTACTTGTTTTCATTCAAAAATGTGATGTCGGAACGGTATTATTATAGATTTAGATTTATATGTGAGACAAAAGTGAGTTGAAATATGGTAAGAATATGGTTACACTAGCTAGCTGTTACGCCATACAAATACTAATGCCAGATGGAGGTTCATTATTAATAGTAGTGTTAGATGTCAACAGTTTTCGCGAATTTTAATTGATACTTGATATCTAATTTTGATACATCGTTCAGTCCTTTGAACTGTTAAACTCCTAGATATCTAAGTCGAGTTCTAGATAAGGACGAAAAGAAGTAAATGCCTTCTTCTCTGTACTTTCTACATGTGCCAACTGTGACTAGGCCAACAACCGTCCTGAAGTCTTTCGAAAATTGCATGGTTTATCGTTTTTAGCGACTTGCGTAAACAATTTAAGATTCTGTGGCCAAGCGCATCTCAATTTCATCAGTTATTTCATTTCCCGGATCACCCTTGCGGATTGGAACACAGTATTTACCAGCCACTTTTTCCATTCCAGCCATTGTATCTATTGCCTCCCTGTTTCTTAGAACATTCTCGAACGATATGCAATTATTACTTTAGTTGCTGCTTGGTTGTCGACGTATATCTGACAAGTAGTATTCTCTGACGATGTTTAAAACTTAATTTTTATCAGCTTTTTTAAAAGAAAGGTCAGAACTACCACACTAAGAGGAGATAATAGTTTAAAATACTACCAACATTGTTCAAAGGCGGTTTAATTTGTTTGAATCAAAATATATGTTTTGAGATAACAATAACAAATAATATTTAGTCTCCCTAAATAATTTGATAAAATTGAATTTCAAATATTTCAACCAATTCCATCTAACTAGTCGATCAATTCGCTCAGGCTCACTATAATAGTAACTGTAAACAAAAGAAAGGTGTGTGGTAGTCAGAGTTGCGAGTTTTTTAACTAAACATTTTTTTAAAATAGATTTTCAATTTAAAATTTTAATAAAAATTGGATTTTATACTTTTAATTTAAATTTTGAAAATTTATTTTTTAATTGCAAAATCAGTATTAAAAAAATTTAATTTTTAAAAATATCATGAAATTCAAAAAATAAATATATATTAAATGTTTTAGAAATATGTAATCCCAAAATCAGATGAAAAATTTATCAAATATAAATCATTTGAATTACATAAGTTGACCGACTCTAAATTACTGAATATGATTGCTCAAAAACTGTAGGACATGCAACAATTAATTTTTATTTATAAATTTGGGGTTTGCTTTTAGTTTTCTTATTTTTCAATACGATAATTGGTATTAAACCTCCTTTTTTATTTAATCCAGCTAAAATTATATTCAAAAATGATTTATATTTTTTCAATATGGTATTTGGGAGTAGAACTTTGAAAATTATTTTAAATTATATAATAAATAATATAAATAATTTTCGAGATTACATAATAAGAAAAAAATTATTTTAATGTTTTTATTTATTAAATTGTTTTTCAATGCATTATTTGCAACCCTGGTAGTATTGTGAAAAATATAATAGTACTTTGGCAAGTGTGATGAAAAGTGTACAATTAAATGCTAATATTTATAAGTGCTAGAAATAACGACCAAGAGTTTCACCACAGTAAATTGTGCTGTAAAAAATTAGTAATAAAAGTGAGTAGTTTTCGGTAAATAATAGCACATAAACGAATAACTCAATCGGTAAAAAATTTGAATTGTAAATATAAATATATAAATACTTATGAAGCTTATGAATGGTTAGAATGATTAGTGCACATACCGCAGCCGCTGTATTTTCCATTGAATTATAAACCTTTATTGGATTGTTATTTTCGAATTGGTGTATTTGTATTATTTAATTGCAGTGTGGGATGATGCGGTAGTTAAAGTAGGCGATAGAAAAAATATGAGAATTGAAATTGCAATAAAGAAAATTAATCGATTAGGTATTAATAATTCACAAGTGTACATATAAAAAGATTTAATACTTTATGGTTGAACTTAGTGAGCAATAGTGCGCTTAAGTTGTTAACGGTATGCTATACATATATCATGAAGAGTGACACAATTTTTATTATTTTTTATTTTCTATTTTTTTT